TTCTTCTTCTTCTTCTTCTTCTTCTTCTTCTTCTTCTTCTTCTTCTTCTTCTTCTTCTTCTTCTTCTCTTTTTTTTTTAATGGCGGTTGGCAAATAACTTTTAGGTGCATTAACACCACCTTCCAGAATGGAATATGGATCCGACAATCTATTAAATTCTTTCTAACACACCCGTTCTTCTTAAAAAACTGAAAACACTCCCAAAAGCCACATCCCCAGACGACCTCTGAAACAAATCCCCCATATCCAATTTAATTTTATTCCTGCCTAACTCTCTACATAACCTCTCTCTTTTCTTGAGTATATTTACTACACTCCAAAAAACATGCAGGACTGTTTCCAATTTACCACATCCACAACACCCCGTAGTATGCTTATTAATTATTTTAAGATTATTTCTCACCATTATTTTGGCGAAGTACTCAAAAAGACTGGAACAGGGGCCATTAGATTCAGTAACACATCAAAACCTGTCAATTTACAATGCATACTTTTATTGTTTTGGGTAAAAAAAAAAAAAACTATGGTCAAAGAAACTAGGTAAGCACATTTAAAAGCAACACCATTATTTATATGAGTTGTGAAAACTCCTAAGTGAACAACACAATCTACAATGCTACACTATAACAACTACTGTGCAATTATATTATATTTATTGACCTGTATTTAAGCCATCCTGATTGTGCATATGTCACTCAAATCTCTCTGTTACTCCCTTGTATTTTTATTTATTTTTATTGTTTATACTTTATGCACCTTTTGCTCCTTGTTTGCACCTTTTCCTCCTTGTTTGCACCTTCTTTTTTTTCTCCAATATATTTATTGAATTTTCTCTTTTTTAACAACTAACCTTCAGACAACAAATTTAACATTATAACATGTACTTTTACACACTTACTTTCACTCGGGCACTCGCCATTCAAACTTGCATTCATTTAGTTCCAAGATTATACAAAACCCTTTAGATTAGGACAGTGGAAAATAACAAGGTAATATATGAATGGAAACCGTTTGCACCTTCTTTTAAAAAAAACGTGAATTTCTCCACTGTGAGATCAATAAAGCTTATCTTATCTTATCTCAATAAATACAAATGTATGCCTGTCCAGTTATTAAACATATGGGATGCACAAGTCAATAAATTACCAGTAAACTGTGTCATATTGTTACAAATAAATGTAATAAACCAGTGTTTTACAAGTCAAGCTTATTCCATGTCATGAAAGTAATGAATATATAATGAATATATATTTTCATCCCAGGTGTTTCTTGACAAAGATCAACCCCATGTCCTTTTCTTGTTGAATGAGATGTCATAAAGAGCCGTTCGGGCTTTGCTTTTGTGAGTTTGACATCATTGGCATTTGAAAGACAAATTGATGTTTAAATGAGGACTTGTGATAGGACACGTGTGCAGGTCGTGACTTACAGATCTTCTCTCTTCACCGAAATGAATAAATGTCATCACTTAAGCCATTAAGTATTAAAAGGGAACAGGCATTAATCTTCCGAAGAGCTGTTCCCTGTTGGCTGCGAGAAATAATCCAATCAAAGCATAAAGTTGCCCACAAAAGCCATTTATTTGTCATTATCTACTTTATAATCTGTCATTCTAACAGTAACAATGTAAAGCTTGGAAATGTCCTCCTGTCTAACCATGTAATGGCACAGTTTGTATGGTAAAAATACAGTTTTAACTGTCATTTGAGTTTGTATTTGTCATCAAATCCAACTAAAGCTGATGTGAATTGGGTTAACTGGTTTAAAATGGTGTGTGTGTGATGGGGTAAGAACAGCTTTCCACACATGACTCTGCTGTTTCCCATTACCGCACGTATCAACAAACCTGGGCAGTGAGCAAGACCTTTTATTGGATTTTGTGTGTATAATTGGTCCTTTGATGGGCCGGATCAATGATTTGTGTCACTCTTTGCTCCGTCTCTGCAGTGATGGTGTTTGATTGGCTTCCACCGGGGGACTGAGAGTCTGCCATCTGCCCGCCGTTTGTCCGTGTGGGTGTTTTTGGGCCGGCGGGGTCCTGACCCGGCCACAGGCACGGTAAGGCCCGCTCTGAATTAGAGCTGCCCACTCGCCGTCCACTAAAGGTCACTGACAGGAAGCGGTGGACGGACTAACCTTTCAGCTGTCAAATCGCTTTGTGTTTCGGTTAGAAGGGATTTTTTTAAAAAGGGGGCTCAAGGTGGAAATCAAACAAAGTCAGATATGTCCAGCTGTATATTATTTTTAGCCTCTGGCATGGTGTCGGGCTTTTCTCTGTTTGTCTGTTCCCCAAGTTGTGGCTCAAATTTATGGGAAGTTTGGTGGATTGCTTAATATTATGTTAAAATAGTGGATGTTAAATAGGTTTTTACAATAAGTCCAAACAAGTTAAACCAAGAAATGTTTGTTTCTCATAATTATGAAGGGTTAGGGTTAGGTTTAGGGTTACGGTTAGGGTCAGGGTTAGGGTTAGGATTAGGATTAGGGTTAGGTTTAGGGTTAGGGTCAGGGTCAGGGTTAGGTTTAGGTTTTTGGTTAGGATTAGGGTTAGGACATCGTTTGTCTTCTGATTTCGTATAGACAGTAAAGTTTTGTTTCCACCTCAGAAAGCTGCTAGTCACATGACCTAATCAAAATGGCTGACCTGGATGTGGGAGGAGTTGGATATCCAACCGAGGCCCAGAGGCTACTCACCACACAATACAGACAGAGAACCACAATGATAGGTGCAGGCTCTGCAACTTTTATGAATTCATCTTCACCATTAATGATATTTTGTCCATTTTCTGTTCATTTTTATCAGGATTGCAAATTGATCTGTGTCAAAATTCAATAAGTAGCTAAAGGCCTTAACGTCTGAGTTTAGATGGATAGTTTGGTCCCGACAGACAATAACTGCTCATAAAACTGTACAATCATCAGAAATCTGTAACTATCTGATTAACTTAACACTTTTATTAGCAGATATCCCACCTCTGAAAAATAGGAGGTTTATAATAATAGAATGAGAGGTTTATATCGAGGGTCGAATCCTCTGTGTCCTCATTCTTGTTTTAATATTCTTGAAAGCACATTAGAACAAAATGGAGGATCCCTGTTAATCCGGGCACCATTAAGGAAGGACTGTCTCATTCGGGGGGCATGAACGGACATAACTTAAAGCTAATGAGAGAGGACTTTTATTTGCTCATGATCAGGACACAAATTTGCCCTTTCAGTGCCTCATGAATTAGAAGTTTGAGAATATTTTCTCTTCCAATCAAAGAGCCCTGTCCCTTTTATCACAGGAATCGTTTAACTTTTTACATACTAGAATTGATTCTTCTTTTTTCCCTCTTTGATCGTATATGGCCTGATAGAGGAGGCCCAACGGTTACAAAAAATAGAAAAAACTAAGATTTTACAGAACAAAAGTAATTGAAAATGCTATAGAAAAAAATAACATTTAACAGAACAAAAGTAATAGAAAATGCTATAGAAAAAACTAACATTTAACAGAACAAAAGTAATTGAAAAT